ACGTCTAAAATAATTATCTTTTTTTAAAAAAGAGAACTCTTTATTTATTTAGACACTGTCTTGGTAACCGAGATGTCTGACAATTATCGAGCGGATATAAATGTATGTGTGAGCAAGAATGCTTGATTGGCACGCAGTCTACAATCTGTGACAGTGATGACTCACAATAACATTTCGTGGATCGCTGTCCAGGCACAGTTTGGAAGATAAACAGTGTTTCGATTGGACATATATTCAGAAGAGTGTCCGTATAGATATTCATGTACCTCGCGGATTCCGGATATATAATTTTATATTAATAAATTAACTTGGATATATCTGTAATGCAGTCGGTTTTTTTTTAATAAAATACAGAGTCATGCATTTGTAATATTGTTCTTTGTTTCAAGCTACGGCTTGAAGGCTTAAACGATTAAACAAATTTATCAATTACGCAAATTTACTACTATAAAACGCGAGAGTTAAAATGTCATTCATCGCCTATAAAATGAAAAGGAAGAACGTTCCTTTGGTATCTCGTTTAATCGTGCAATCCGAGGTGCAATCAATGCCGAGCGAAATAGGCCGCGATTTTTTACGTCCTAAAATTGGTCGCAGGTCGCAAGCAGGTAGCAGATTGCCACGAGAGTGACTAATTGGCGCGCAGACTGCAATCTACAGCCTGGTAAGCTCGTGACAAATAGAGGTAGAGGAAAGCGCATCGTTTGTGACATAACGAACCGCTTAAAACGTTTCCTGTCTACATAAGACTTATCGTATCAATTATTCACCAGCGCAATAAATAAGGTGCACATTTTAAAACATCAGATGTTTATGGATGCAGACATTATTACATTTGCGGTGTCATTAATCATCGTATATTTGTAACACCGAGCATCTCCACTTGTACACGAATCATCTTTCAAGTCGAGATAGAAGAAGGTCAAGTTGGTGAAAGAATTTTTAAATGTGAGAAAACGTAGGATAGATAATGATGCATATTTGATTTGGAAATTTAAAATAAGAAAATAATATTCTACTTAAGAAATTGCATTGATTAGGTGACGCAATGATGCTATTAATAACACAAAAATATTCTTGCGAGTTAACAATTACAATATTGACCTTTGGACCCAATCGAATATTTTTCCCGGTGCAGAATCCTCCAAAAATACACAGCGAGCGAGTCGCAATCAGTCCGTTTACCACATGTACGGCAGCAGAGCTCCGACATGGCCGATAAAAGCGGTACGAGTCACGTTGCTTTTTATACACGTAGAAAGGCATTACTCCGCTCGCGATATCGCCCGTGATTCGAATTCCATAAGATTATAGCATTAACTAGCGGCGATTAATCGTCGACCGTCGTCGTAGTGGGTTATAAGCTTTCCGTGAAGAATTCGGGGCGTTTGATCTCTTTTAAAAACACGCGGCCGCAGCGAGGTCTAATAAAGACTTCGTGCACGCGGACTCATTCGTTTCGGAGGTTGGTAAAAATAGAAGAATGGACGTACATACACCGAGATATTTCAATCCGTGACCGTGTCATCGGTTACTCAGCGTGGAAGAGTTCGAGGATGTGGGCAGCTCCCGCGAGCGATTCGTCATACGGGCAGATCGTAGCGACGATTATCAATCTACTTTATATTCGTGAGCTTCGTTCTAAATAAGACGAAATGCTCTTTCGGCTTCGTGCTTAATCAACACTTCTGCTCTTTCGCGACGCTCCGGGCTTTAACCCGGTCAGTTTATCAGAGATCGACACGCGACCATTCTCTGTCTTTTTTTCTTTCTCTCTGTCTCTCTCTCACTCTCTTCGTGCTCGTCGTTGAAGGTCGAAATCGGAGCAGATCGCGATAAGACTTGTTACATATATGAATTCATACCTCCTACACCGAGACCGAGAATTTTGTCGAGTAACGGGTCGTTTTCCTTCGAGAAGGTAGACGAAAGAAATAAAGGCACCTTCTCGACCTCTCAGGGAGATTTCCGCCCCGGCCAAACAGACAAAGATCCCATTCCATTGTTCTATGATTTACACCCGCTTCAGCCTCTCAGTTCAGGTATACTGAGCCGAGTTTTTGGTGAATTTCGTCCGTACCACCGGCATTGACACTTGTCACCTTTAATAATTAAGCGAGCATCCCAATTCACCTTCGTCTACGCACCAATAGGATCACTCTAGGACGTTTCTTTTTCCTTGTGAGTGTACGTATGTGTGAAGTGAGTTCCTTTAGAATGACTTTAGAAAGACTCAACGTAAAGGTAGGTAGCCCAACACAGGTGGTGCAGGTTAATTTAGATAGGTAAAAACGCTTTGTACCGATTTTCAGGGCCGCATCGATGGCACCGTCAATAAAACTGAATGAAGCAAAAAGATTGAAAAATTAGACGTCTATAAATATCTATATATTATTATGGCTATATATTTTAAAATATTAATAAAACCAAGATTTTTTTTTCTGTTCGAATATATATTTATATTTTCTAATTTATTATACTAATTGGTATAATAAATTAAAATTTATATTTATTTGTCTATAAAAAATATGAAAAATACTAAACGGTCAGTTACTGAGCATATTTATTATTTTTTTAGTAAGATAAAAAGAGATTCATAAAAAGTGTTGGAGATCTCATTATGCAAGGGCATAAGTCGCTCGCATGTTATACGTGCGAGACAGGATTTTACAATGGGTGCGTGCACCTAAGGGCCGTTGCTCCGCGAGATACGATCCTAAAAGGCGCCGATGTTCTCCCACGCGATGCCTCGTCGACGTTCGATGAATTAGGCCATTTGGAGTAGGATTTGGCGACACGTAGTCGGAACTTTAGGCATAGCCGAAAAGGGACGGCGGACTGAATCTCGTAAAATATAAAATGGCGAGACCCTAGTGTTCACTTATCGGGTTAATCGTCTGGCGCGAGGGAAGCTAATTAAGGCAACCTGATAGCAATTTGGGAAATAACTGTCACTTTCTGAAAAGATGTTCTCCATCGAGATGTGTTACTTCGATCTATGTGTACCTTCCTAAAATATTTAAATTTAGAAAATATTGTTATTTAACAAAACTTGTAAAATTTTTCATTATTTCACACTATTCATTTTTTAACAAATGTATTATATCATATTTCTGATGAAGTTAATTTTTCCTCAATGAAATTTGAATTTTGTTTTGCTGACTTTGACGTGTCGGTATTAAATATCTTAACAAACAAGTTTCCAATTACAATCCTGTTGAAGTGTCGAAGACAGCTCGAAATTAAATGAACAACATTTTGCCGCTTGCACCTCTGAAGTTAATTTGCCAACACCCTAATTATCATTACACTATTAGTTGTACGTGTTGCACAAAATGTTCTACAATGCAGACATCTTACACGCCGTCGGGTATTATCTCGGATATTGAAGCCGTGTTGAACACGCATTTAATAGCGCAGCATAAGCAAAAGCGCTGGAACGCGTACTCACTCGGCGAATGCTGATTCCGCGGCGTTATCAAGACAAAACGAGCGACGTAATGTGACAACGGTGACAATCGCGCGTGACCATACGGGCGGAATAATCGGCGCGCGGCTCGATTGATAATTAATTATCTTGTTGCGCTGGGTCACCGAGCGTTCGCAACACTGCTGCTCCATCATCAGTGACCCGTTCTCTCTCTCTCTCGCGTCGCGGAGATGAGCCGCATCGCGAATTTTTTCCTTCTTTCTCCGCGCATCGTCGTTTCGCGCGCCGCGCCGCTGGCATTTCGATTCTTCTTCGTTCACCTCGCGCTGCGCTGCGGGCGTAGACGGACGCGACGGTACGAAATCCGCACGTGTTCCGCGAAAAGGTCCTTGAGTTCTTTGTGAATGGTGCAACATTCGACATTCATTGAAATATATTAAAATAATCGTGCCGTTGAATCACTTAGGAAAACAAACCTCGGGCTCTCGGGCTCGCGGGGATTGCGCAACCGCCTGCTCGTCATCGTCACCGTCGCCGGACGCATACGAGTCAGCGCGGCGGAATACCACAGCCGATACGACTTGTACCGTAATTTATATACCGCCTGGCCGTCACGCGCACACACATCCCGATGGCGAAATGAAAGTAATAAAAAGAGATAAATAAATCGCGTGCGAATGGCGCGAACGCGCCAACCCGCCTGTCGATGGCGGCGAGAAACCGCGTCTTCTCTCACGCGCGCAGCGCATCGCCGCCGCACTTTCGATCCACGGATTGTCCAGCTGTTATAAAGTGACCTTTACGTTATTGTGCGCCGAGTGTTGCGTGATGGTTCAAAAATGCGCGTGTGCGCGAAACGTTCGGGCAACAATCGCCGCAAAAGATACAGCGATCTTGAAAACTTGGTCACATTCGCGAAGAAATAATAGCGCGACAGTAGAGAGATTCACGCCGATCTCGCAGCCACAAGAAACCGATCAGGAAGAATTTGGCTATAATTCGAAGAAACCAGAAACAGAAGAGGTTTTTATCTTCAGTTAGATTAGCAAAAACTCTTTCTGGAATTCTTG